CACAACGTGAACACCTTCAGGGCACGTCTAGGGACGTTCCCCCTTGCTTCCCCGAGCTCCCCTTGCCCTGGTTCGTCGCCTTTCTCTCCCTCTCTCCCTCTTTCTCTACTTCCTCTGTTTTGCCCGAAAATGGCTAAGGCAGAGGATTGAGAGATGTTTATGGCGTGCGAGAGGGGTCAAGTGGGCTCGAGCCCAGGCCCATTGGCGAGCCTGCAACACCCTCGAGGCATGGGAGGTGACTGGACGGCGAGTGGGCTCGGAATCTGGCGAATTCCGCGTTCCAAGGCGGCAACAGCGCAAGTTGCGTTCTGTCATTCCCGGTCCGCCGGACCAACTTCCTGGTCCGCCGGACCGGGGTCAGTTGATTTATTTTTTTTTTTTCAAAAACTTCTCCCAGTCCGCGCTGTCCAGTCCCCACTCCGGCTGAGCAGTTGGTCCGCCGCGGACCATTCCTGGTCCGGCGGACCAGCCCTGTTTTTTTTTCTTTTTCCTTTTCTTCATTCTTTCTCGGTCCTTTCCACACGTGACGATCCTCGTGCCTCCCTCCGATATTGTACCATCACTTTTGGTGATTCCGTGATATCTCTATTTAATTATTCATTTTTAATAATTAAATATTCAAATCGGGTTTCGGGGTATTACACGGTCTCTAGCAAGACATTATGATTATCCGTATCGGAAAGAGTTAGATGTGATCTAACCGAAAACCAGAGATAACTCTAACTATGATCCTCTTTGTCTCACGATATCATAAATCGAAACGCAGTTCGATTGCTTTGTCGTATCCCGAGTACACTGTAAGAGATCGATGACATTCATCTATAGTGTGGCCATATATTTCCACAGTCTCACTCCTACGACGGGTCTAACAATGATCTCTTTCGAGAGGGACAAAGTTTCGTCTTGACTATCTACTATCCACTATACATGATTCATAATGTACTCGAGCCACGCCTTTATAATCATCCGGTTAAAGACGACGTGTGACGCAGTCAAAGTACATTACTCCTCATGTTGGATACAATAGATATCTCAGGTCTAAGGATCCAAAGTAAATCATCATGTGAGATTCAAGTGACGGATTACATCCAATCGACAATCTCACCGAGTCATCCAGTCACTTATTCCAAACAAGTACCCATGATCGTGATCCGTATCCAATACACATGATCGTCACTATGATCATCCATCACGCCTCATGTTAGTCTAAATTCATCATTGCTCCCACAATGACAACGACTAAGAAATTTAGGATCGTTCATAACAATCCATGGATGTCATTATTTATCAAATATGCAAAAAAAATAATGAACAAACAATGCGTTCATCCAATGAATTCATCATAATACATAAGCTCTCATATCGAACGATCATCATAGAGCATCACAACCATCAGTTGGATCCAACAATTGGATCTGGCCTGATAAGGTCTAAAAATTTGTCGCAAGTCTGGAGAGGTTCCGGAGAGTTTATGGTCGTATTAGACTTCTTATAAAGCTCTCTAGATCCCCTGTATGACTTAGGACTTTGTGTGTTGAAGTTTTCAGCCAAACTCCCCTTATATAGAGTTCCAAATCCTTGAAAATAGGTAGAATTTTCGATGTGGGATTTTTGTTTGGTTACCATTCATAGACATTTTTCACGATTACTATTCACCGATACTATTCACGGTTATTATTAACTAATACTATTCACGGTTACTATTCACTGATACTATTCACGATTACTATTCATGGTTCTATTCCTAGACATTATTCACGGTTATTATTCATGACACTATTCACAGTTACTATTTACCGACACTATTCACAATCATTATTCGTCGTTTTACCGGATTACACTAATTCGACCGAGTTTCCATATTGTTTCATATTTCGGTTGAATTACACTACAACCAAATTTGATCAAATTCGTACGAGTTACTTTTATTCAATCGAATCGACTATCTGCCACTTTAGATCGTTCTGTCCGATTTTACAGGCCGACCAGTCTGATCTATTTTTGTTCTTTTTCTCGATGTTGTGCCTTATGTTTAAACCAATTATATATCCCGTCTATTTAATTATTTGTCTTTGAAAATAATTAAATATTGAAATCGGATTTCGGGGTATTGCACATCCGTTGGAAATTTTCACGCATAATTAATGTTTCTGACAAATTCCAATGTATATCCGTTGGAAATACAGTTTTCAACGGCTATCTGTTAGAAATTTTCTTAATTTTCTTGTCCGACTCTTCGTGATGCGCCAGGTATTAAATGTTGGAAATTTCTAACGGATATCCGTTGGAAATACTGGTGACTATTCGTTACTTGGAACGTGGTCGTGGGAAGTTACATATTGATGTCCGTTGGAAATTCTAGCGACCATCCGTTACTTGCAACGTGTCTTGGGAATTTATGGTGGAACAAATAACAATGGTTGTCCGTTGAAAAATTCCAACGGACATCGTTGGAAATCTTTATTTTATTTTATTTTTAAAATTCTCTTAAAATGCAAAATACAAATTAAAATGTAAAAAAATACAAATAAAGTTTATATAGATCTTCATCACTTTTGTCATCCGAGGCCGTATCATGGTCTGATACAAATTCATCGATATCATCCTAAACGTCTATGTCTCAAAGTGCAAGCGTATCATCGTGATCATCTAGTTGGATTGAAAGAATCGGATCTTCGAGTTGCTCTTGCAATGGTTCAACTAAATCTTGAGGAATATTGCATGTCAGACTGTCCGTACGAACTAAATCCATTTGTGCATAAACAAAGATACACATTCCTAGGCTCAGCAGCAAATTCAGAAAATACCACATTGAAATTTTTCCGTGCGAGACCATCTGATGGATATTGCATTTCTCCATCAACGGTTGAGTGTTCTGCATGCCATCTCATATGTGAAGCAGCCTGTTGTGATTCATACAACCGCTTCAATCTCTACGATACTGGCATATAGAACATCTTTTCATACGAACTTTTTCTCTGTGCATTTTTACTCGGACGATATCTGTTAGCCCCACAAAATTTACACTGAACCAATTCTTTATCTTCTAAACCACAAAAAGGCATGCAACCATTTTTGCGTGAGCTTCATTGTTTTCAGGTAAATACTCATGCAATGTCTGACAAAATGAATCTATGCAACTCTCTGTGACATTGTAATTCGTTTTCATACTCATCAACCTTGATGAAAAAGATAAACGAGACTCACATTTTTTACATTCTTCATAGACAAGATGATTTGTCGAAAAACTGTTTTGTTTCGACGTTTGTCTCCTCCCTTGTGAGTTTTGCTCAAACGTCGCCCTAGGAAAAATATCTGTCACCATTTCAAAATAAGAATTTCTTGAAACTTCTACATCATCATATCTCTGATTGCCCAACACATATCCCGTTGTGATTGTCAGGACTTCTTCTCCATGGAAACACCAAATGTAATAGTCATCCACGAACCCTTTTTCAAAATAGATATTTACAAATATTTTCTTGAGTACGAAATTTTAAATTTCGACAACTTGTATACGGACATAGCATTTTTTCACGTTCTTGGCACAATGACTGCATCAAAGCAAATTTTGCTTCAAACCGATAATGAATTCTTGTGTTACCTATTTTGTAATCAGATCAACTCTTTCATTATCCATTTTGGGATGAATGAATATTCGGATTTATTGAAGAAGACATTTTTTTAAATTTTTTGGTGTAAGAATAGTAGAAGAACGGTTTGGAGAGTGGTTTGAGAGTGTTAAGGGCGAAGGGTTATATAAAAAGGAAAATTCAAATGGATGTCCGTTTGAAACTTCAACCGTTAAATATTCCAACGGACGTCCGTTGGAATATTTCGACCGTTGAATATGATATCTGTTGAAAATTTTTGTTTTCAATTCCAACGGATAGCCGTCAGACAGTACATTGAAAAGTTTCAACGTACCTTATCTGTTGATATTTCGTTGAAAATTTCAACGAAATTCTAACGGTTTTATCCGTTGAATATCCGTTGGAAATTCGTTGGAAATCATATTCCAACGGACTGATCCATTGGAAAAATCCGTTGAAAATTCATTCGCAGTTTTTTTTTGGGAAAAATACCTCAAAATTCTTGAACTTGTAATTTGGTGTAATATTAATTTCTGAACTTGTAGGTACGTCTATTTATTCGCGAACTTGCATTTTTGAATACTGTAATTCCTAAACTTGTATTTTTTAATACAACAATTCCTAAATTTTATTTTGGTCAAATAGTGGTTGAAGAAGTTTGGACCCTCAAAGAGTAAAACGGAAAAACTAACCAGTTCTATTCACTTGAGAAAACTGTCAAGTACAACTCACTTTTTGTTAGAGCTACTCAACACCCAGATGAAACTCCCCTTGAGTTTCAACTCTCTCTCACAATGAATTCTACCGATAAAAAACCTAACCAACCCAAACGCTCACCAAAGGAATAGAGATTTTTCCATTAGGTCTCCCCCTCAGATCCACGCCCAAACACTCACCAGAGAAAAGAGATTTGCCCAATCGGTCTCTTTCTCATACACACACTCACTCAAAAGTGAGTGCTCACTCACTAACAGAAACTCTCTTTAGTAAAATATGCTTTGCTCTCCGTGAGAACTGATATGCACTTGCTCTCTCCTTTATATAGGCTCCTCCAGTTCGCCTTAGATCTCCACGAATTGATTTGATAGACTCCTCTTTGATTCTCTTTGATTTCATCTTTATCTCCAAGATCTCATCTTTATCTCTTGTTTGACTCTATCTCTTCAGCCTTTGACCTTATCTCCAAGATCTTATCTTTATCTCAAATCTCCTCAAATCTTCTTGGCTTTGATTCTATCTTTATCTCTTCAAGTCAAATCCAAACTTCGTGGCTTAACTTCGTAGCTCTATCTCTTCAGATTGCTTTTCCTAAAATCTCTCCAAGTGGTTGACATTGAGTCCATCTCAATCTCTTAGTCTTTGACTTTATCTCAAACTCGTCAGTTGTACCTCAGATTTGCGTGAGTTCTATCTCGCCGGATTCTTCTCCTGAAATCTCTCCTGAAATCTCTCAAGTCTGTTGAACCTGCAATAATCACTTAACAACCAAAAAACACATGTGCAAATAATTGCACTAACAATGGTATGGAAGATTATGGAACTGTTAAGCATGTTTAGAAATTACTGTGTTAAAAAATGCAAGTTCGGGAATAAATAAGCGAACCAACAAGTTCATGAATTAATATTATACAAAATTACAAGTTCATAAATTTTCAGGTATTTTTCCCTTTTTTTTTTGTAGTGAAAACTTATGGTACTTTTTCTATTCCAATGCTCTATTTACAAAATCTAGTTAGAACGGGATGCAAGGCTGCACAACAGCCAATCAAGGCCGGTGAAAATCCTATTGAAGGACATCCACCATGACCAGGAGGAAAAACAACGCTCGCAGTAGGATAATATGAGCGACACCTCCTTTCTCATCACAAAATTGATTGCAAGTCTCCGATTTTTCAGCTCCACATTGTCCAATAACTTAGTCATTACTTCACCACTCAACTCAAATCCGGTTTATATATTTTTTTTTTTGAAAATCAAATGAAAACACATGCGAGATTAATTGGGATCTTTCAAATTTTAAATCTAATAACATCCTTCAACAGATCATTAGAGCATAATGCTTGATCAGTTAAGTCAGAAATACCTCACTGTCCACCGAACACTTCACTGACTTTTCTCCCCTTGAACTTCTAGGACGTTGAAACCGAGCATGCAAGCTTCACCATTTAAGTCCAGAATATCTCACTGAGATATACTCTTGTAATGTTTCAAATTACAGCGGAGTATGATGCATGAATATCATCTGCCCTTAGACCATCGTATAGACTGCATGTGGTTCAACTTAGACCCGAGTGATTCAATTTTCCAATCTACTCATATCAACTTTTCCTCCTTTCCTTTTTCTTTCTTTTTCTTTTTCCTTTTTCATCACTTTTTTTTTCTTCTTTTCCTTCCTTTTTTTTATTTAGGAGTACTAAGTCAACAGAGGAGTATCAGGGGATGCCCATGTCTTTTTTTTTTTTTTTTGAAGTATACTTGGCATACCTGTCAAGTATCACTGACTCTCCTTCACAATCATTGAACCAAATCACTTTCGAATAGATACCATTAGAGATAAAATCAGATTTCTCCTAAACCAAAAGATTTTATTTTTTAAACACACAAACCCATTCATATCAAGTGATTTCGTAAAGATATCAGCTAATTGGCATTCAATGAGTGCATACTCAATCAAAAGACTGCTCTAATTTGCTCTTTGAGAAAGTGGTACCGAATTCATACATTCCATTTGAGTGTATCCTTGAGCCACTAACCTTGGTTTATTGCGACTGACTCTTCCATCTTCATGCATTATCTTGAGGTAGTACTCATCATTCAAACCCTCGTGCATCTTAATAGATTCATCCTGCGAAATAAAGCACACAAACCTAGCCATATCTTGATAATTTAATCGAGGTTTGTCCCTTACCTGTCGTGGGTCATTCACACTTCCACTCACATCATTAACTAGGTAGGTTCGGCGAACATGGGGCTCAGGATCGCTTTTCATATCCTCTTCTAGCACTTCAGAATTCTGAGATGAAGTGAGATGTACCTGGTCAAGATCTGAGTGATCACTGACTGGTTCTCGAAGTATATCAGATATCTCGTAAGCTTTCCCTCTACTTTGATGCCATAACTCTGTCCTCGATTGATCATCCCAAGTATAACAGTTACTCGGTGTTCGCTTTCCTGTCAACACACACTTATTCAACGAGTTAGTGACTAAACATACATCTTTAGTGAAGTGTACCTGAAGTCCAGAGTCACAAAGTTGACTTATGCTAATGAGATTCGCCTTGAGTCCTTCAACCACATTCACATCAGTGAGGGTAGGCAACCCAGATGCATTCATGTTTCCTTTTCCCAAGATCTTTCCTTTTCTTCCATCTCCAAATGTCACATTCCCTCCTTTGATACTTTTTTCAAAAGTTGAAAGTCGGTTCATGTCACCAGTCATGTGTTTCGAGCATCCACTGTCGAAATACCACTGACTTTCTCTTGAATTCAGCTCTGATGTACAAGCAATATTGCACCTGTTGATATCTTTTCTCCTCCATACTTGTCTCCATCTTGGTGCGAGTGGTACCTGATTTCTCCTCCAGTAGCAGTTCACTCTGATATGTCCTCTTTTGCCACAATGAAAACAACTTATGTGCTCACGATACTGCTTTCTCGGATGAAGATCAACCTTGATTCTTGGAGTATTTTTGTCCGGAACAATATTCTCATCTCCAAGCTTTCCTCCAGAAACAAAGTTTCCTACTTTGTTAATACTTCCTCCAGTGTATCCTAGGCCAGCATGCCCAGAATAAGTTCGCCCAATTCTCAGTAGATGATCAAGCTTTTCTGTACCACTTCCGAGCATCCTTACTTTTTTCATAGTCTCATCCAACTGACTTTGTAGTAAGGTGATCTTTTCTTCTTTTTCTTTCAGCTGCTTCTTTAGATCAATGATAATTGAATCTTTCTCCTTTTGTTCTTTGATCAGCTGTTTCCTCAAGTCAGTGAGTGTTGACTCACTCTGTTTTTGTTCCTTGATCAACTTCATGTTGATATCGTAGAGCTTTGTCATCTCTTTGTACAGATCTTCTTCACTAACCTCCTCTTCTTTTTCTTCACGTTCTTCTATGTCACCAACGAACGCAATAAAATTTGAGCGTTCTTCTCCTTCATCTTCGTCAGATTCAGTTTCTAAATCTTTGTGAGTGAGTGACCTTTTCCAGCAGCACACTCATTCTTCATATGACCATATCCTTTGCACTCATAACATTGAAGATCCTTTAGATTCTTCAATATTGCTTCCCTCTTAGCAATGCTAGGACACTCAGCTTTCCAGTGACCAACTCCCTTGCATTCGAGACACTTTCCAGTGTTTCTTGGCTCAAGTTTTCCAGCGGTCACTGACTTTTTCTTGAAAAACCTGTTGTACTTTTTGACAATCATCGCCATGTCTTCCTCCAATGATACTTGACTTGGATCCTCAGATGACCCTGGAATATGAAATGCCAACCCCTTGTTTGGAGTCGCCCCCTTTGGCTTTTCATATAGTTCCAGTTCTAACTCATGAGCAGCAAACGCACCAACTGTTTCTTTGAAACTAACAGTATCCACATTGTTTACCATAGTAAAAGCAGATTTATGAGACATAAACTTTTTTGGTAAACTTACTAGGAGTTTTGCCACGAGTTGTTTGTCTCGATAGGTCTTTCCAAGGACCTCTGCTTCGTTTGCCAGTGCATTCAGCCTTCCACAGAATTCCTTGACACTCTCGTTTTCACCCATTTGAAGCATGTTGAATTGATGCTTGATTAGATCTCTCCTTGTGCGCTTGACACTTGAGGTTCCTTCATGAATTAATTCAAGTGAATCCCAGGCTTCTTTTGCTGACTTACACCCTTGGATCTGCTTGAATTCGTCTTTATCAACAGTGTTGAAGATGATGGTTATCGCCTTTGAATTCAATGTCGATGCTCTCTTCTCTTGCGTTGTCCATTTAGATCTGGGCTTCAGAATTTCCTCCCCATCAACCACGTGAGTTGGAGCACTCCATCCTTCTTCCACCGAACTCCAAGCATCTTCATCAATCCCTTTGATGAGATTCATTGCCTTAACTTTCCAGAAACTGTAATTCTCCGAATCGAGAATCGTGGACGTCCCAAGAGCGTGAAACCCTTTGATCGAGTCCATGTTGTGTCTTCCACACTTGCACCGATATGAGAGGACAAGTTCCTACGATCGGTAACCAGGCTCTGATACCAATTGAAGAAGTTTGGACCCTCAAAGAGTAAAACAGAAAAACTAACCAGTTCTATTCACTTGAGAAAACTGTCAAGTACAACTCACTTTTTGTTAGAACCAGGCTCTGATACCAATTGAAGAAGTTTGGACCCTCAAAGAGTAAAACAGAAAAACTAACCAGTTCTATTCACTTGAGAAAACTGTCAAGTACAACTCACTTTTTGTTAGAGCTACTCAACACCCAGATGAAACTCCCCCTGAGTTTCAACTCACTCTCACAATGAATTCTACCGATTAAAAACCTTACCAAACATTAACGCTCACCAAAGGAATAGAGATTTTTCCATTAGGTCTCCCCCTCAGATCCACGCCCAAACACTCACCAGAGAAAAGAGATTTGCCCAATCGGTCTCTTTCTCATACACACACTCACTCAAAAGTGAGTGCTCACTCACTAACAGAAACTCTCTTTAGTAAAATATGCTTTGCTCTCCGTGAGAACTGATATGCACTTGCTCTCTCCTTTATATAGGCTCCTCCAGTTCGCCTTAGATCTCCACGAATTGATTTGATAGACTCCTCTTTGATTCTCTTTGATTTCATCTTTATCTCCAAGATCTCATCTTTATCTCTTGTTTGACTCTATCTCTTCAGCCTTTGACCTTATCTCCAAGATCTTATCTTTATCTCAAATCTCCTCAAATCTTCTTGGCTTTGATTCTATCTTTATCTCTTCAAGTCAAATCCAAACTTCGTGGCTTAACTTCGTAGCTCTATCTCTTCAGATTGCTTTTCCTAAAATCTCTCCAAGTGGTTGACATTGAGTCCATCTCAATCTCTTAGTCTTTGACTTTATCTCAAACTCGTCAGTTGTACCTCAGATTTGCGTGAGTTCTATCTCGCCGGATTCTTCTCCTGAAATCTCTCCTGAAATCTCTCAAGTCTGTTGAACCTGCAATAACTACTTAACAACCAAAAAAACACATGTGCAAATAATTGCACTAACAATGGTATGGAAGATTATGGAACTGTTAAGCATGTTTAGAAATTACTGTGTTAAAAAATGCAAGTTCGGGAATAAATAAGCGAACCAACAAGTTCATGAATTAATATTATACAAAATTACAAGTTCATAAATTTTCAGGTATTTTTCCCTTTTTTTTTTGTAGTGAAAACTTATGGTACTTTTTCTATTCCAATGCTCTATTTACAAAATCTAGTTAGAACGGGATGCAAGGCTGCACAACAGCCAATCAAGGCCGGTGAAAATCCTATTGAAGGACATCCACCATGACCAGGAGGAGATTAACGTCTGTTCAGAGGAAACTAAGGCAAGAAGACTCACATGGCACTAATTTCTTTCTGGTCTTGTCACTTTGATCCTCTTTATAAGTGATGTATTTCTTTCATCCTGGGTCTGAACTTCCATGTAATTCTTTTGAGACTCGGGATGGTTACTTAAACCTTTCCCTTGCAAGGAACATCATACATATATAAAATTTTACGTTTAACAAAAAAAAGATGCATTTATATTTTCGCTTGACTATCTAAAGGGAACTCTAAAATGAAGTGTGCTAGGCTTGGATAAGTCTTAGGATGTGTGATATATGGGAGGTATTTCTCGAGAAGTGTCCGAGTCAAGACAAAGCATGATGAAAGATCTTGTGTTGGGTGGTGGGGATAGTTTCAATGTCTGTAACGTTCAAGGACCATTATATGCATGCAAATATTCTAGAACCAAAGCCAGAAGTGCTTCTCATATCGTCTAAAGACCCCGCCCACTCTCTGTCAGGAAACCTTTCAACTTGAAGTCCTTGACATGTGTGTAACAAACATCAAATGAGCTTGTTCCTATAAGATACCCTCTTGGCTGCAACTAAATGCTCATTCTTCGCGCAACTTAGATACGTAGATAACAAACTCACAGACTATAGAATATGTTGTCGTGTAGCGGTCATATACATAAAAAATCCCACCATTTTTCTTTCCATTCTTAATCTATTTAGCATCTCCTCCAGATATTTCCTTTGGCCAATGAAAACTTCACCTTTTGATTGATGAAATTTCAGACCAAGGAAAAATGACATAACTCCGACATATGTCATCTCAAACAACTTATTTAACTCCGTCTTCACCTCTTTAGAAATACATTTTTGTAATTTATTTATATTCTAATCCAAACAAGTAAGATTTCACGTTTTAATTAATTTGATATTAAAAAATATTATACAATCGATATTGATATCAGATTTTAATCATTTATTTACATATATTTGATTGGGTTAGATTAAAAGTACTCAACCTAAAATGAATATCAAACACAAATATAATCAAGAAACTAATTCCATTCTATACCATGCAAAGTTAAAGAAGACAAAATGCAAATTGTCACGTTGACATTTGAAGCGCATTCCTCCCACGACTTCGTACCCCAACACTGGCAATAATGTTCTCGAACATGTTCTCACGTCTAAAAAGTTGAAGGCAAGAAATCCACCAAATTGGATTAAAAAAGGGTCTAACCGATGGCTATATATATACGGCCAATACTAACACCATTCTCTAAATCACAACACAAAACACAGAAAGAAACAAAGCAATGGCTTCTTCCCCTAGGATGGGGAGAACGCCCCTTCTCGTTTATGCTCTTGCCTTTACTGTCTTGGCTGCAACCATCGCAGCCTCTAATCCATACACTTATTCTTCTCCATCATCACCCGAATACTCACCTTCGCCCAAGGAAAGTTATGAATCTCCTCCACCTCCTTACGCTTACAGTTCTCCACCGCCTCTACCATACTACTCGCCTGCTCCTAAGGCAGAGTATAAGTCGCCACCACCACTATACATCTACAAATCTCCTCCTCCACCGCCATACTACTCACCTTCACCCAAGGTTGAGTATAAATCTCCTCCACCACCGCCATACTACTCACCTTCGCCAAAGGTTGAGTACAAGTCTCCTCCACCCCCGTACGTTTACAATTCTCCACCACCACCTTTTTACTCACCTTCACCCAAGGTTGAGTACAAAACTCCTCCACCCCCATATGGTTACAGTTCTCCACCACCACCGCCTTACTACTCACCTTCACCCAAGGTTGAGTATAAATCTCCTCCACCCCCATACGTTTATAGTTCTCCACCACCACCGCCTTATTACTCACCTTCACTCAAGGTTGAGTACAGATCTCCTCCACCACCGCCGTACTACTCACCTTCACCAAAGGTTGCGTACAAGTCTCCTCCACCCTCGTACGTTTATAGTTCTCCACCACCACCACCTTCTTACTCATCTTCACCCAAGGTTGAGTACAAAACTCCTCCACCCCCATACGGTTACAGTTCTCCACCACCACCACCTTACTACTCACCTTCACCCAAGGTTGAGTATAAATCTCCTCCACCCCCATACGTTTACAATTCTCCACCACCACCACCTTATTACTCACCTTCACCCAAGGTTGAGTACAAGTCTCCTCCACCTCCATACATTTACAAGTCTCCACCACCACCGCCTTATGACTCACCTTCACCCAAAGTTGAGTACAAATCTCCTCCACCCCCATACGTTTACAGTTCTCCACAACCACCGCCTTACTACTCACTTTCACCCAACGTTGAGTACAAATCTCCTCCACCTCCGTACGTTTACAGTTCTCCTCCACCACCGTCATACTACTCACCATCGCCAAAGGTTGAGTATAAGTCACCTCCACCCCCGTACGTTTACAGTTCTCCACCACCACCACCTTACTACTCACCTTCACCCAAGGTTGAGTACAAGTCTCCACCACCGCCATATGTCTACAAATCTCCTCCACCACCGCTGTACTACTCACCTTCGCCAAAGATTGAGTACAAGTCTCCTCCACCCCCATACGTTTACAGTTCTCCACCACCACCGCCTTACTACTCACCTTCTCCAAAGGTAGAGTACAAGTCTCCACCACCACCATACGTCTACAAATCTCCCCCACCACCGTCATACTACTCACCTTCGCCAAAGGTTGAGTACAAGTCTCCTCCACCCCCGTACGTTTATAGTTCTCCCCCACCACCGCCTTACTATTCACCTTCTCCAAAGGTAGAGTACAATTCTCCACCACCGCCATATATCTACAAGTCTCCTCCACCCCCGTACATTTATAGTTCTCCACCACCACCGCCTTACTACTCACCTTCACCTAACGTTGAGTACAAGTCTCCACAATCGCCATATGTCTACAAATCTCCTCCACCTCCGCCGTCCTACTCACCTTCGCCAAAGGTTGAGTACAAGTCTCCTCCACCCTCATACGTTTACAGTTCTCCACCACCACCACCTTACTACTCACCTTCACCCAAGATTGAGTACAAATCTTCTTCACCCCCATATGTTTACAGTTCTCCGCCTCCACCGCCATACTACTCACCTTCTCCTAAGGTTGAGTACAAGTCTCCTCCATCCTCATACGTTTACAATTCTCCACCACCACCACCATACTACTCACCTTCACCCAAGGTTTATTACAAGTCTCCACCTTCCCATTACGTTTACAGCTCCCCCCCTCCACCACCATATTATTCTCCTTCCCCAAAAGTCCACTATAAATCGCCATCATACCCACACGTTTGTGTTTGTCCCCCACCTCCACCATGTTACTCTCCATCTCCGAAAATTGCATACAAGTCTCCACCATCATATGTATACAAATCTCCCCCTCCACCACCATATTATTCTCCTTCTCCCAAGCCAGAGTACAAATCTCATCGACATCCATACAAGTATAGCTCTCCACCTCCTCCACCGTATTACTCACCATCTCCAAAGGTTGAGTACAAATCTCCTCCTCCACCATATGTATACACTTCTCCACCACCTCCACCTTACTATTCGCCAGTCCCTAAAGTCGAGAACAAGTCTCCTCCACCCCCATACGTCTATACATCACCACCTCCACCGTCATATTACTCTCATTCTCCAAAGACTGAGTACAAATCTCCTACACCCTCGTACTATTAAAGCCCACTAAATACAACTAATATTTGATCCATGAGATTTCATTGAAGTAATATTGTTCGAATCCCTCTTAATTTCTATGAATTATAAATTCGGTTGGTCAGATTACCAATTTGTTAGTCTTTATATGACTATCTTTCACATTTCGAATGTACGAAGTCTATATGCTTTGTTGTTATTCGTCTTTGGTGTTCCTCTTGGTATTCTTCAATTTGGTGTATTGAATAAGCATGTAATCTTCTTGTTCGTGGACTCCATGAATTTCATTATTATTGATGGAATGATAAAATTGGTTTTATGAAGATGACGATGTGTTAGATTTACAATATTCTAGCCCAACTTATACATTTTGCATAGAAATTTTGGAATTTATATCTCAAAATATGCTTTTGGTGTGGCCTTGATTACAAGGACACATAATTCTGATCTAGAAGTCTGAACCTCCGAGAAACAACCATAAGAAAATCATGCAAGAATGGAAGATTCACAGAACAATGCTGATGACCCTCAAACTTAACAATACAAAAATATGTGGTATAGGTTCATAGAAATAGGAGTGGGTTATTTTAGTGCTTATGATTATAAATCAAAGAAAAATTCCCAAAAAAAAAAAATTAAAATTTTAGATAACTATCAGAATTATATTAAACTTTTTCGATTTTCAAATTCATACTAGATTTTCAAAATTTAACTAAAAAATAAATTTTTTTGTCAAAAAACTGTCGTTTCAAACGTCAAAACCTGCCTATTTTTTTTTATTTAAACCGATAATTAATTACCGTAAACCGTACCAAAAATAAAATTTTAAAAAACCCTAAATTCATAAATATCGACATTCTCAATTTCGATCAATCTCTCACTCTCTCTCCCGCGGCTCTCCCTCTCTCACTCTCGCTCTCGTTCTCGCTCTTACTTATCTCTCTGTCGTGTTTTTCATTTGCTTAGATCGAAGTTGCAACCCTCTTTGTCGTCATCACAAGGTAAGTTGTTAGGAGGTCTTGGTTTTGTTCTTATTCGTCTCTGTCGCTGGGAGTTTTGTCAGTACATTGTGGCTATAGGGTTTAGCTTGGGGTTAGAATGTGTTTGAGGTTTTTCCTTTTTGGAATCGATTCTTTGTTGCTGAGAGTCTTTGGTCTTTAAACGTACAAAATGTGTTGAAGATGAGGGATGTGGAAATCGATTTACAGGTTGTTGTGTCGGATTTGGGGTATTTGTGAAACGTATCTTTTTATATGTCCAGCTTCATCAAGATTAACTTTCATCTTGGAGAAATGATGCAAATTGAGGATGGGATTAATAAGTATTTAGGTGGGAGAAGTGTGAAATCAATTAAGTTTGATCCTGATATGTTGTCTTGATATGTGTTTGAGGATTTTGTGCGTCCTAGAAAGAGATATTGGCTCCAATTTAAGAAATATGGTATAAGTTACCTACTGAGAGTATGGAGGAGTTGAGATGAAATCGGAAAGACATAGATTGGGAAATATGTGACATGTGCAAGCTTGCTGGAGTAGGAGGAGAGTTAGACGTATTCATTGATCGTGAACTATCAGATGCAATGCCAGTGGAGATTCCTTTGTTTATTTCTGGGTCTCAAGGAACAGAAGCTTCATGAAATGAGGATGCTAGAGAAGAAGAAGTTGTTGAAGAGGATGGAAACGAGGTTGGAGGGGATGGAAATGATGTTTGAATTGATGTTATTGGAGTGGACATGATGATGAGGTTGGAGGGGATGATTTTCCGAATGAGGGATTTTTTAGAAGGTCCTCCGATACACAGCCAGAGGAATATGTTAGCGATGATGAGGATTCTTCTGAAGACATCTAAAAGTACAGATGATTAGTGGC